GTCGTCAGCTTTTTCCTCCTTGAAATGTTAAGATCACCGTAGCTCCACTGTGACTTAGCACAGTGGTTTCTAGCCTCGGCAGTTACCAGGCCTCTAGATGCCTCTAGTCTAGCCTGTCATTCCAAAACAAACCAGATGTCCATTCTCTGTCTGTCCAGAAGGCTGAGAATTGGGGGTGGGGTACAGATCAGGGGACATCGTTGGGAAACCTCTTATCTAGGACATTGAGCAGACAAAAGCACTTAACACACTTAAGACTGACCCTAGGGGAGAAACAGAGGTGGAAGAGGCAATAACAAGGTGAAAAATAGACTTTCACCATTCCTGAAGGACAAGCTTTCCAACCCGTTGGTGATTTGTCCTCAGAAGTTCTGCAGAAAGACCTCGTTTATTGCCAACCAAGCCCCGGGGTTGAGTGTTTCTAGCACAATTCCACGCTAACCATGGCGGCTCGGTAAATGTTCACAGATGGTGATGAATTCCTACTTCTGGCCAAGTGTACAGGAAAAAAAAAAACCCTAGCTATTAAACATTCGAACACTGACAGTCTTAGAAACAATGGAGCGGGCGGGGGGAAGACACACAAAAGAAGGAATATACCAAAAGGAAATTAAAATCTAACAGTTTAGGAAGGAGGGCGAGAGCGCAGTGGATGACCGCCGAGCTGGTCCAGGCCCCAGCTCCTCCCTGCCTAGCTGTGTGGCCTTGAGCAAGTGACCCAAGCTCTCCTTGTGCCTTTGTTCACTGAACCAGCCTGTGAAGTTGGTGTGATTTACCCTAATTTAAAATTCAGAGAGCAGGACAACGGAAGACACAAATGACACCTTGCAGTGTCACAGAAGCCTCTGTTCCCCCATACCACCCCACCGCATCCCCAGGCAAACCGAGTCTGCCTCAATTTAGAGTTTATATTATCTTTTCTGGGGCACTCGACCTCAGCTCCAATTCAGCTGCCAGAGGTAAGCCATGAACCAGAGTGGGCTGAAGACCCGGGAGGTCTAATGAGTGTTCAGGGAGCGGCCTCCAGGTATCAGACTTTCCAGGTAATGAAAAACAGCTTACAGGTCATCCAGTCCAACAACCACAGGATACAGAGCTCCGTTAGAAAGTTCTGCCATGTATGGAGCTGAATGCAGTCTGTTCTGTGATTTTTGCCTCCTGGTCCTGGTATAGCCTTCAGGGACTTTGCCAGACCGGGGTCCCTGGCTGGGCGCGCTCTGTTCTAGCTTCCAAATCCCCAGGGCTTTCCTCTGATGACGACTGTCTCATCCTGGGCACTACTGCTGGGTTAAGCTGAAATACAATGAACTTTGCAGGGTCTGAGAATCAAGCCCAGGCCTTTCCCCCACAATCCCCCACTTGACGTTCCTCCCACTCTATCCACCTTGGCTCCAATCTCAGGGAGAAGCCTGGAACCATGACCGTGCAGGGCAGAAAGAGTCCAGCAGCATGAGGAAGACGCAGCTCATCCCAAAACGTTGACTAGAAAACACGGCACAACACAGAGAGTACTTTGAACGTAACAGGTGCTCAATAAATATTTATTGTGCAAATAAATGATGAATGGGAACCAGATCAAGCTCCTCGTTCCACTTCCCCACCTCACTTGTGGTCAGCCCAGGCAACTTCCCTAAGAAACTTCCCGTGGCCGGAACTGGGAGACCCAGAAAACAGCCGTCAATTAATCGGTCTGGGCTGGAGGTCAAAAACAGACAGCTGTCCACTGCCCACAGATGTTGTGCTTGGCCTGCATAGCGTTTTTAAAATTTTTAAATGGTTGCCAACTTTTCAAAACGCGGAGATTTTGTATGTAAATCTCAATATTTGGCTTCTCTTGAAAGAACTCAGAAGATCTGGCAACACGCTGACGTTGTCAGATGCTGAGTTGCCAATGCCCCCTTTAGAACACAAATGAACCCCGAGTGCTACTCTCTTTCCTTGCACCAAGCCCCGTTTCCTGCACTCTGACTGTCCCTGTGAACACCTCAGCTTGTAACCCTAGCCTACGCTTCCAAAGGGGAAGGCTTCACTCCTTCCAAATCAAAACAGAGCCCGAAGAGACTGGAGCCTGGGCTTTGGAGCATAACCACAAACCCTGGTTTGTTCAGGACAGCTGGGTTCACACGTGTTGACCTGGTGTCATTATTAATGGCCTTCCCTTTCACTCTCACTGTCCCATCAGGCCGCCCTGAGCCTCTGTCAGCTCTAGACCCACCTGTCATATCAAGGATTGTGTACCCAGAGCCCTCAGAAGGTCATCTGCTCTCTAGTTTCTCAGCCTGGAGATTTCATACTTCCTCCTGTACAGCTTATTCTGCAGCATGCTGCTTAGGTAGGCAGAAGTAAAGACAGAACGGCAGAATAAAGAGAAGTGAGAACAAGGGAGAGCGTTAGAGAAGTCTCTATTCAACTCCACCTCCCAGGTACCATTGCTTTTGCCTGAAACCAAAGTGAGAACTAAGCTGTCACCACTCCATTATCAGGGGGACTAGGAGAGAGAAGGGAGGCTTTCACGGTGAGACACGACACTCATCAATCTGTACTTAACGTCTCTTCCAGAATCCCCTGCCCTGTTGAGTCAAATGCATTCACTTATCAAGCACAGCTGCCATCAAACACATTCACTCATTCCCTTCTCTTTCTTTCTTTTTTTCTTTTCTGAGACAGAGTTTCACGCTTGCTGCCACGCTAGAGTGCAATGGCAAGGTCTCAGCTCACTGCGACTTCCGCCTCTCAGATTCAAGTGACTCTCCTGCCTCAAGGCTCCCAAGTAGCTGGGATTACAGGTGTGTGCCACCACACCCAGCTAATTTTGTATTTTTTTTAATAGAGGCGGAGTTTCACTATGTTGGTCAGGCTGGTCTCGAACTTCTTACCCCGAGTGATCCACCTGCCTCAGCTTCCCAAAGTGCTGGGATGACAGGCATGAGCCACCGTGCCCAGCCTAAACACATTCACTTTTCTTTCTTTTTTTTTTTTGAGACAGAGTCTTTGCTCTATCACCCAGGCTTAAGTGCAGTGGTACCTACCATCTTGGCTCACTGCAACCTCTGCCTCCAGGGTTCAAGCAATTCTTCTGCCTCAGCCCCCCGAGTAGCTGTGAGTAGAGGCTCCTGCCACCACACCCGGCTACTTTTTGCATTTTTAGTCGAGACGGGGTTTCGCCATAATGGCCAGGCCGGTCTCAAACTCCTGACCTCGTGATTCACCCGCCTCAGCCTCCCAAAATGCTGAGATTATAGGCATGAACCACCACACCCAACCTAAACACATGCACAGCTTCCACCCATGCCTGCTCCATACCTGGTGACAGCAGATATGACAATCTGACTGAAGTTGGTCAGGATGAAAAGAGTCATAATTCTAGAGTACCAAACATTTTTTATGGTTCACATTTTCCAGGGCCTTTTAGCATAGCCGGGATCGTACTGGCTTTGGAGGGGATGCTTGTAGAAGGCATAGGCATGGAAAGAAAGGCCAGTTATGCAGGCTGCTTTCCACAGCAAAACCCAGCACCTAGCCAGGACCCACCAGAGCTGCAGCAGCCTTAAGTACACCTTAATTCCAGCCACGGTCACTAGGGACGTTTTCTATTTAACCTTAAAATCGAAGTATTCCCTTCCCAAACTTTACAGGGTTAAAGGCTAGGGAAGAAATGATTTCACTGAGGAAGGAGGGGCACAGAAGGCTCCCCTCCTCCTAATAAAAATTCTGGCAAGAACAGACACAGTGGGGAAAACCAAGCCAGGAAACCCAATACTGCCGTCTTGACATTTTATAGGAAAACTTGACGTAACGAGATATCACAGGACATCTGAGGTTTATTTTTTTTTCCCCTAATGTGAGCAAAGAGAAGAAATCTGGTTCTTAAAATCCTCAAGATCCACGTAAACTTAAATCTCCAACCCCCTCCTTTTCCACAGCGAGCACGGCACACAATCATCGCTGCCGGCCGGAATCTGTTTGTAAGTTTCCTTTGGTAGCTGCCTCAGATCCGCCCAAGCCCGTTTTATTGGGCAGCGGAGAGCTAATATAAGGCACAGTCTGTGTCTAAATGCATTTCCGACACTCAGCCTCTCAAAGGTAATTTTGCAAATGGCACAGCGAAGGGCTTTTGCTTTGAAGTAGGCTGGGAATCGACTACAGCTGCTTAAACACTGATCAAATTCCACTAACAGGGTAAACAGAAAGCACATTCAAAGAAATTATATTTCGCATCTTCCCCGATCAAGTCAACCAGCTGCTCTGGAGAGTGAATGGGATGGGGTTTTCACATCCTCCAGGGAGGGGAGGGGGTGAAGGGTATTTATACATTCTCAGCTGGACTTTTTGGTTAGAGCTGCTCTTATTGATCTAGACAGACACAAATTATGATGCCTGCCATGGCTTGTATATACAAATAGCCATGTGAAAACAGTCACAAGTCTAATTGAAGGAGACAGCAAGAAATCAAAGGAAGAAAGAAAGAAGGAACAAAACACCCAGACCCACAGAGCAGCATTCCAGCTGCCCAGAGAGGCTGAGCAGGGGCTTTTCCTTTAAGAGGAGATGGATGGTTACCTACACAGATGAATTCCGTTCCCCTGGGTTCAACTGTCCTAGGGAACTGCTCGGTACAGCAATGACTGGAAAGGAGCAAATACCTCCCCTCCCCAGCGGGCTCTCCCCACACTCCGGAACCCTCTTCCATAGATCCACTGCAATGGCAGGCAAGCTCGGCCCTGGTGCCCAGAGGGGGAATGGGGTCGGGGAGAAGCAGGGTCCCAGGACCCAGAACCCGCAGAAGGCCCTGAGCGACGCCTCTGCTTCACCCACACAGGGGGTTTCCTACAGTGGCTTCCTGACATCCTAAGAGTCCATATCCCCACCCAGAGAAAGAGAAACCCAGAAGAACTCTGATAGATCTCTGGCCAGCAACCCTGTGGATGGGTTCAACTCAACCCTGAGATGAGTCCAACAAGAAGAAAAGACATGTTCACCCCTCAGCGTGGGGCTCCTACCTCCCCATCCACCGTTCTTTCCAGTGTACCAGAGCTGCTCCTTTCCACGTTTGCCTAGGGTGTGGGCAAGATGTGCGCGTGAAGCTGGGAAGTCACAGGGACTGGAGGGAGGGACTCTGATCACAAGGACAATACAACCCTCCCTAGAAGTCTGAATCCTAGTACATCCTATTTTCCCTGTGGCTAGCAGGAGCCCTGGCAACACCCAGACAGGAGAAATCCAAAGGGAGGATAGGACTTTGCAAGCTTGTTTCAAATTCTTCAAGAAAGCAGCAAGACATTTTGACCTGCCTTTCTGACCCCATGGGCCTTCTGGCCAGATTACCAAGGAAAATTCGACTTGAGAGCAATGATCCACCCCCAAAAATGCTGCCGATCCACAAAGCTAAAATTACCCACCTAAAACATTTGTCGAAAATAATGAACAAACTGAAAAAGCACGCTTCTCTCAACATTTAAAAACTGACCCTGGAAAAATCAAACCTCACAGAGAAAGGCTTCAAAATAAAACTGAAGGCAGCCGGAACTGCAGACCATGAAAGTCACTCACCAAGAACGGACGAAGGAATCCAACAACTCAGATATGCAAAATTTTACGCGGGACATGATGGAAATAATGGCAGAAGCTAAAATGAGTACTAACAGCAAGCAAGCAAACAAAAACAGAACCAAATTTTGTGGTAAAACGCACTTGGGAAAATAGTGATCCTAATGAAAATGATTTCAGTTTGAAAAAGCAAAAAGGAAGATCTTAGGAAGGAACAGTTTCATATTGGCACACAGAAAATGACTGAGGTACGAAACTGACTTGCAGTGCTCAGATCACCTGGTTTAAGTGTTTATCTCTGTGAACCAAATAGGAACATCTACTGGTTTTAAAAAAAAAAAAAATGACAAAACAAAAAAACGCCCCTGTCCTTTTTCAGAAAAGTGGTCAAAAGTCAAGCCCAGGCAAAAGCCACAAATCCAGGCTGGTCTGTCCTGCACTTCCTAGCTTCCTTGAAGGAACCAGGACTCCTCTACTGAGCACTTGTTACCTTGCCTGGGTCAGCACCAGACACCAGAAAGAGGTCAGACCCCAGCCTGATGAACAGGCCTGGTGGGAAGACCACCAGGAGATGCCCAGCCCTGCCCACTGACCTCACCTCAGGCAGGTGATGGCCTCTACCCACCTACTGTCAATGGGCCTGTCTGCCAGGAAACCCGAAGAGACCACGGTGTCAGTCCCCACCTGGAGGAGTGTAGCCATCTCCATCCTCTGCCCTTGGGGAGAAGGGGAGAAAATAGCTCTCTGGGGGTGCAGGTTGGGGTAATAGGACAGTGAGCAATTTCAATCTTTACTTCTCCATGTGTTCTAAATTTTCCACAATAATTATGTATTACAGTTATGTTAAAGCAGGGAGGGAAGCATCAAAGACAACAGCCAAAACACCTGCTCTAAGAATAACTGACTCTGGGCCAGGGGCGGTAGCTCACGCCTGTAATCTCAGTGCTTTGGGGGGCCGAGGCAGGAGGACCACCTGAGCTCAGGAGTTCAAGACCAGCCTGGCCAGCATGTCGAAACCCCGTATCTACTAAAAAATACAAAAATCAGCCGGGCGTGGTGGCGCACGCCTGTAATCCCAGCTACTTGGGAGGCTGAGGCAGGAGAATTGCTGGAATCCAGGAGGCGGAGATTGCAGTGAGCCGAGATGGTACCACTGCACTCCAGCCTGGGCGATAAAGCAAGACTCCATCTGAAAAAGAAAAAAAAAAAAAAGAATAGCTGACTCTGGGATGTGTTTCCTCACATGAAAGGTTCAGATGACCCTGGGAGCTCAAGATGGCACAACCTTTAATGTATCTGCAAGTATGCAGGGCTGTGGGTTTCAAGTTTTAAGTCAAAGGCAATGAATTTATAATTTTGGGATTTCAATTTGACAGCAGGTAGGTTTGTTCTGCAATCTCGGGCCACTGATATTCAGCCTTCTTTTCCCAAAAGCTGATCATTTGCTTTGGTGGTTCAAACACATTACAATGGGGTTATTGGGCTTTACAAATAACAACACTACAAAATTCTAGCTGGGAAGGACACACACCAATTTAAGAGAGAGTAAACACCTGTGAAACGGGAGAGAGAAGAAGGGGAAGGGGGCTGGAGTGGCAGGAGGCCCTCAGCACAAGGGTTTTATTTTTAGTTAAGAAAGGGATGTTGCAAATACCTAACGTAAATCTGGAAAATGTTAACGTTTGTTAAATCTGGTAGAAGGGACATGGCTAAGTTACCATTTACCTGGAATTCAAATGTTTCACGTTTTTATAATATGATGAAAACACACACACAAACACACACACACACCCCGCAGGGCATTCTGGCATGTTAGAGAGGGTGTGAACCAGCACAGAGGCAGCAGAGAAAATCGAAGTTCAAAGTGCTACTCTGGTCTGTAAACACTGGGGAAATTCTTGGCCTCAGACTATACACAGCAATGTATTAACTTGTCTTCTAAAATTTGTTATTACAGGGGGGGAAATTTTAAAAAAAAAAAAAAAAGCAAGTGGAAGGGAACATGAAAACTATCGTTTAATTATTTAGAGAGGGCCTACTTGGTACCAGGCACTTTGCAAGAAGTTTCGGCTCTCAAACCATCTAATCTCAACAATGAAGAAGGGTGTTTTGACCCCTTCCTGTCCCAGATGCAGAAACCAAGCTTCCAAGGGGCAAAGCCACTGACCCAGAGCCTCAAGTAGTCAGGGGATGGTGAAGGGGGCAGGCTGGGCCCAGGGGCTGCCCCTGGAATTTTGGTGAAGTCTGGAACCCAGGGTAAGAAGAGCTCCCTGGAGCTGATCTTTCTTACACTCAGTGGGGTCACCCTCTCTCCCCTACAAACCCACGTTTTGCCCCTCTCAGGGCTAGAACCCAGACTGCTGACCCCTGGCACAGAAAGGAACCTTCCCAAACACAGCTCTTCCCGGCCATCTCCTCTCCTGTGGCTCCAAAGCCAGGCCAGCTCCATCCCCAGCACCTGCCCAGCTTCCAGGACAAAGCCCCCGGGGACCACTCCTGCTTCCCCTCTCCCAGCGCAGGCCCACCTGGGAACATCTCCCCAGCAGGACCCTGGGAGCCGAAGGGCAGCCAGCTTTGGTTCCAGCCCCAGCCCCACCCTTCAGTGCTTCATCAAACATCGCTTCTTTAAACCTCGGATTCCCTGTCTGTCGAAATCTCTCAGCACTGTCTCACCTCTGCCGTGAGCGTGAGGGGCAACGGCACACATACAGCTCCGAGCAGGGCCTGGCGCAGGGTCCACGCCGACAGGCTATCGCAGGCAGAATGACCCTTGACAGCGCTGTATGAACACCGTTCTTCCCAATGCTGGACTTCAGGGTCTGTGCGAGCCGGAGTCGTGCCTTCAGTAACTTCCCACCACCCACAGTGTGTGGTATCAGAGGAGGAGGAAAGGAAGCTCTAGCGGCTGGGATGGGTCAAGTGTTCGCAAATGGAAAATACTATGACTCTGTAAATTAATTTCAGATTGGACTCCATTTTTCTGGCAAGAGAATTATACTTTGTTTTCCTTCTCATTGTTTTTAGAGGTAAACAGAAACAGACCATCCCCCCAAATGCATTTGAAATCCCAATTAAGATTTTCTGGAAAAAAATAAAAACCAGCCATATAATATTGGCATCTGGGGCAAAGTTACGTTACATGTCAAAGATGACGGCCATCAGCCTGATAGTGCTCACATGGGAGGAACGGGACACGGTTTTCCTCTGGCAAGAAGCGAGAGATCCGGGGTCCGGGAGGCTTTTCCGTGTCACCAGCAGTAGTTCAGCCACCGTCACTGAGCTCACCCTTCCATAAAGTCACACTGTCACAGCCAACTGCCTGGAGAACAGGCACAGACCCCACGGCGGGGAGGTGCTGGGCTGCGCTATTGCATCTGCCCTGGGCGGAATACAGGACGAGCCACAGACAATTTGGACAAGTGTTTAAAGAGGAACGGCAGAGCAAGGAAGTGCAAAATGTGGGTCAGGAGAGGAGCAGAGGAGGGAGCGGACGACGCTCCGCGGGGCAGGGAGGAGAGATCCGTGTGGACAGGGCAGAGTGTCCCAAAGGACCTAAGGCTTCTGGGCTGTTCTAAATTGCGGAGCAGAAGTTACAGGGAGTGTGATTTCTGCTCAACTCAGGGAGGTTGTTAGAATGAAAGAAAATGCAACACTGCCTTGGAGGGACGAGTGGGGACTGCGGCAGCTTGCTAAAGATGGAAAGCCTGTCTTCCATTTAAGCAGGCTTCCCCGGTACAGTGCAGTTAAGCAAGGCACCTCATTCAATTCCTGTGACAGTCCTGGGAGGGAAACAACTCAAACCTATTCGTGAGTTCACTGCCCTAGAGATGAAAATGGGGGCTCACAGGTGGCGTGATGCCCAAGTCACATAGTTAATAACTGCAGGTGCACTTGACTCGGACCTTCTGCCTTTCCTCCCACAATTCCTCCCATTCTAGAGCCTTGGAGTCCCTGCCTCTTGGGTCAAAACGCTGGGCTTGGGAATCCTGTCTCCCTGCCCCCATCTGCCCTCACCACCACCCCGCTCAAGAAGCACAAGCTGCCCATTCTGGTCTAGCTTCCATCTTGCCTATGGGAGGGGCATAGAGATTCCTGGGGTGGAGGTGGGGCAATATTCCTTGATTTTCCATCTCAGAAATGGGCAAAACAGTGAGGCTGTCTGTCTTAAAGCCCTATTCACTTCCTTAAAAATATGGTGAGGGG